ACCAGCGTGATATCTGACAAATTTTAAAAACTTGTGTACCTTAGCTTTTTAATAATGAGTATTGCATCCCAATTAATAGCTACTCGGAATCCTAAATTCGTAGTTATAAAATTTTGGGATTACGGCACCCAGATCAGCTGTTGTCTGATTTGAAATGTTATCGTTTAGCTGAAAGTTGAATTCTTTCTTTTCCGCTGTGAATGTGCCTGTATAATTATAATATAACTATCTCACAGTAAGATCTACTTACAATGATACTAAAACAATTTGTCTGTGTATAATTTATACGATGCCACCAGCAAGGTTATTAATTGTTTCAAATTATATGATGTCAGTAGAGTGTTTGATGTGATGTAACATAACGTCCCGTACTCTAGATAAAGTATTATAATTCAATTCAAATTATATGATGTCAGTAGAGTTTTTGATGTGATGTAACATAACGTCCCGTACTCTAGATAAAGTATTATAATTCAATTCAAATTATATGATGTTAGTAGAGTTTTTGATGTGATGTAACATAACGTCCCGTACTCTAGTTATAGTATTATAATTCAATTTATATTATATGATGTTAGTAGAGTTTTTGATTATCAATTTATATCACCAGTCTCCTAGTCGTAGTTTGTTTTCTATGGATGTCTGGGCAATGCTGCAAAGATTCACACATTCTAACTTCAAAAAATTGCAGAGAAAAATATATTAATTAGTTATTTAAATGTTTGAAAGTTACAAATCGCGAAACATTACGTACTTCAATCCGAATGCGTCCAACTTTAATATGACTTACTATTTACAGGTAGACTAAAGTAAAGTAATTAATTTACATATCAATGTCCCTAGTTTTTCTTTGACCTTTACACAAAATAATCTTTGTCTAGGTCAAATGACGTCATTATCTTTCAATCTGAGATCAAAGTATGAAATGGAGACTTTCTGATCAACTTGTGAAGATTTCCGCCAGTTTCTTAGACTGTATTTTCTATAGGAGTTTCGTGTCTTTGTTTATCACGTATCGTGAAGAAGGAGAATCAAGAAATGAGAATGTTTTCGTGAGAGATTCAATGAATTCTTCGTTTTTCATTTATCTCAGGATTCCTTTAATTTAATTGAGTTGGATTTTATACTAGCTATTGGCAAGAGATCGGAATTTATGACTAGGTTCCCAAATCGCCAGGCTTACACGATTTTCGTTTCGCTTTAGGTTGCTATTTCGTGATTTTCGTAGAGCCGTCTTATTGACCAGTTCTTAAATCGGTGTGGAGCTAATTAAAATTGCACGAGGCACAGTCTGATCGTCCTGGGGTGTTATTCTTCCAATCTCCAACATCTTCTAAGCCTAATAATGAAGTTGGTACTGTCGTCTGTGGCTATATTCGGCCTCGAATGACTATTAAAATAAGCTGAATAATGAATGTTGTATTGCGTGCCAAGGGTTTATTGTAATCTCCTATCTTTAATCAATTATAACTAAGATTTCTGCTCTGTTATTTCTTCCTCTTGACAAAAAACCGCCATATTTACTTCCCCGATTATCTCCCAGCACATTTATTAAGATTAATGTTTGCTGTGGAATGACTTTTTTCAAAAAATTAATGACAAAAATGATGAACAGTGAAGGGATTGCTTCGAATATTTTCTATTTTTCTCTTAGATTAATTTAAATTTGTGTTCTCTTTGTTTTTTTTATAATGGTGTCTCCTCCCCTT